AGGGAAAGAACCAAGTATTTAAATAAAAATAAATACCAGTAAACTATTAAGATTTTATTATAAGCATAATCCAGTCTACCTCATTCTGCAAAAGCTGTCTTTTTGCAACTTTTCCTTTCATCCATATGTCTCTGTCTCTTTGACTTCCAAGGTCATTTGAGAAAGCAGATTATTACTACTTTAATTATGAGGTCATTAGGCAACAGGGTTTCTGAAGATCTAGCTACTTTAGGCTGTACAATATAGTTAGGTTTCATCATGCAGACATAAGAATTATTTCTTATATAAAACCACAGGAAGTCAATTAAACCTCTATTTAGTTTTTGAATTACATTATTCAAGCTAATACAGTCAGTTATAAACACAAAGCAAAATAGGAGTTTGCTAAAGTTAGCATGAAAAGCTTCCAAAGAGCATTATATTCAATACCTGACTACAGGGGTTTTTTTCATATTTCTAATGTTCAAGTCATTTAGTTTTTAGGTGAATGTTAACACTTAATTCATACCACAAAGAGGAGTTGGAAAATCCTGAAATATAATACTCATTGTCCTGGTGTACTGCAAGTTTCAAAATCTGACTGAATCCATATTATTCCATGCCAACAAAAACTCAAGGAATCTGAATTTCTATTGCTCACATCTTAATAAAAATGAAGCTGACACAATTACCCTGTCTGCATCATTTATAAACATCTTGTACCTTTATTGTCCTTCTGAGTTCCCGAAGTCTGTAAAACATAAAAGATGTTTTAGCCAGTCTATTTCATCACAACTGTAATTTAAGCTTATTTTCAAAATCAAAATAACATTACCAGTGATTTGTAAAGACTGGATTTTGGATTAATCCTCATAAACCGAAGAAGATCTTGCATAGTCCACAGCTTGGGGGTGGGAAAGAAGATAAGACAGAAAAGGTTAACTATTATAAAACACATTTGAAAAATGTAATAAGCACTATTTTACAGTTGCAGAATGCTTTCCATTCAAGAAAGATATATTTATCACTTTCTAAAACCCTTTTCGGAGGCCTGCTGTTCTAGTACTACATTTACTTACCTCTACAACCTAAGACACATGGCAGCCAGTGTGCAGATCCCTGACTCGCTAAAGCTGTTAAGAGAGAGAGTTTTGTTTCCTTCCCACCCTGGATACATGCTCTTGCTACTTTCCTTGCCTCTTTTCTTGATTTATCATACAAACCAGATGAGCCCATTAACCTAAATGACAACTAACTACTCACCAGATCAAAAAACTAATTTTCAGTTAGAAACAACTTCACCCTATGACATACTCATAGAGGAGAAACAAAGAGAGGGCAAGGAGTGCCCTTTTCAGCCACAGCTTGTAGTTAGAACAGCTTAAACTGATCATGAACCACACTTTCAGGGAACTGAATGAGCAAACGAGAGGCTAGCTTTAATTGGGATCAGTTCCCCGAGTGGTCTGCCACACAGCATCGCGAATGGTGGTGCCAGACCACAGCTATAGCTGAAAGCAAGCGCGAGGTTAAGAGGCTTGCGCTACGCCTTTCCAGAATAGCATCATTAGCTTGTTGCCAATTTAAAGCATTCATGAAAATGTCCCTGAATAATGATATCTTTTATAGAGGTGATCAGAAGCTGTACTTCTGTTTGTATTTCACTGCCACCAAAGGGGATTTTTTTTTTTCAGTTCTGTTGGAATATAAGCATACACCCGCTCCCTACCCTCACCTCCAAAAAGCAAAGCTCCCAGAAGTCTTAAAAGAGGTAAATTACTGAACTTACATTCTTCTTCTCTAATCCACTTTCTGGAAAGAAAACAGAAAGTGAATACTCATAGCCACATCTCTGTAGATGATCTGCCACCAAACTGTTGGAAGCTGTGATCAAAAGTGAACTGCCATCACTTGGAACAGCCTGTGGCTGAAGTTCTCCACTTAAAATTGGGTGCATTAGTTCATGGATTAGCTGGTTTCGGAGCTGTGTCTGATACAGAAAAGACATCATATTCTCAGTTTACATGTTATTCAATGAGAGTTTCTATTTTTCAAAATTCACAGCGAGTCTCATTTTATTTGTATATTACAACCTACATAACATAAATGGGCAGACTAACTTTGGCAAAATTTAGAAGAGTGCTGGGGACACTGTGCCTTTCTTCAAAACACTCTAATGGTGGCTACAGTCATCTTTGACTTTCCCTCAAGATGTATCAAATGCAGGACTGAAAAGAAGTATTGTTCTCAGTCAAGAACTCGCATAGACTCCACTCGAGTAGCCCCAGCTTAATTTTTAGATCACTGCCTTCCTGTCCTCCTTCCCTCTGGCCTGCCTGAGGGAAGGCAGGCCTAAAGCCTGCCTGATCTGGCCTCAATTTCAGGTGTGCTTGGAGAATTTGCTAGTCCTCTTCTGAGTCTCAGATGAAGAAGCTGCCGATGCCGTCACAAAAGCAGACAGGGAATAAAAAAAAAAGAACAACAGGAAATGCAATGTCTTTAAT